CATTGGAAAACACACTGTCTTCGGTTAGAAAATTCTATTTTAACACGCGTGAATTTCATACAGTACGTTGCTTGGAGAAGCCATGCGCACATTAACACTATTATCAAAATTCTCGTTTTAAGCAAGATTGAGTATGTTTTGATAATCTATGGCAATAGCTGCAGATCTAATGTGAACATTCTCAAACCGGTCTATCACCAAGCCGTCAGAGCAAGTTGTTATGCTTTTCGGACGACGTGCATAGATAATATTATAATCGAAACTAGTCTCCCACCTTTAGAAAATAGCCTTTGAGTTAAAAGCTAAAATACTCCCCAAGCTTCTTAATTCAAACAAATCTATTCCCGGTGATGACGTGAGAAAGATTATTATTGCGAAGAAAATTCCAAAGTCACCATCTGCAATTGGCCATTGTTTGTACGATGTAAAGGAATTAAATATTCCCTTAATAATTTTCCGCTATTTTGGTATTAAACCTACATGGATTCTGAAAGACTGCTCTTTTGACACTTCGTTGTCTATGCACAAGAAAGAAAATACTCCAAATTACGTCTTCAGGAATCTAATAGCTGAAAAAACCCAAATATTGGAAAGTACTGGTTGGAATCTTTTATACACAGACGGCTAAAAATCTTCTGGTCTGCCTCCTGCTTGTGCCGTGGTTGATGCTACAGGACGAGTTCTTCTCAACCACATATTTCACGGAAGTACTTCAACTTTCATAAACGAGCTATCCTTCGCGATGCGAACCTTTCCAATAAAAACAAACTCAAGACCGTCGTTTTTTCTCTGTATTAAAAGCTATACGGAATTCTTCGATATCGAGATGGAGTACCATTAACAAATTAAGGATTATCATTACAACAGCCGGCGAAAAAATTAAAATGTTATGGATACCTAGTCGTATCGGTATATTGGGATATGAGCAGGCTGATCGAGCGGAGAAGTATGATGCTTTTGCATCTCTAATTATGGAAAAGTTAAAGAAAAAATTACATAAGGAAATATACAATACCATCATCAGCACCACTCTCTTATAAAGCGCATTCACTGTGACTGCCTTACTTTTACCTTGGCTAGAAGTAATGGATCTGGAACGATTAACCCATTCTACAATCAGCTACAGAAAAGAATACCAATACAATCAATTACTTTATCAAAACTACTAATATACTTTTATAATTTAGAGCTGATAGCCTGTGTTGCTAGTGCGCAATGTGTTTTTTTAATCTAAGAATTTATTTCATCAGTCTAAAATTATAATAATAATAATAGTAATAATAGTTAGACAGGGGAGTTATTGATTGTTGTGTTAAAAAACCAAGTCATCTTCCTTCGCTTTTAGAAGCATGCGCTTGTATTCATAAAGGCATTGTCTTAAGTCGATTCTAAGTTGGACAGCATCCGCACTATCGGGCCGCCTCGATCTCTGAAAATTCCGCTTAAGGCGGCGCACGACTCCACGTTTAGCGGACAGTGCAGCCGTCCACCACTTGACCCCTCGTCGATTTGTCTTGCGACATTTCTCAAGGAGCAAGTCGTTGACGCCACAAACGGACCGAGAAATATACTCCACCTGCTCATTCGATCTACAAGCAAAATCCTCAAGCGATACGGCTGTCACCGCTTCCCCAATATGGACCCCGTAGGTATCCCAACTGGACTGTCAAACGTGAACCACTGGCTAGGCTCATTTAAAATATAGACCATTGAGACAAAACCACCCCCCTTATTTGATTACGAAGACCAGACCCACGGCAACAGGCATTTGCATAGAGTCTTAGGATTAATGGAGTGCTACCTGCAAGCAGTAACACCGAATCCATAAACCTAATGTAATCGTCCAGTTCTTGATTAAATTTGCAGTAGAGACTGGCTACAAGCAGGCTCTCATTCGGGCCTTCCACGGACACACAGACACCATAGTTACAGGTTTTAAAAAGGGTCGCATCCACATTCACACCATTCATTACGACAGCAAAGTGGCTACTGGAGTCAAGAAAAACCCGCATTCCCGTTAGCAGGCCTTTTATCCTGCCACCGAAAGTGCAGGGTTCTTGCACCAGAGCCGCTGTGCAGCCCAATTCACTCATCCACTGGCCAAGCTCCACACCGCGTGATAACCGCGGTTGAAATTATATTGCAGTATGAGCAAAGCCATATTAGTGCTTAGACGCTACCTACGCGATCATCCTGTTATACTCCGGACAGGCCTAGGACATCATGAGATGTCCAGCAGAAAGTCCGCGGAACTCGCAGTTTCGGCAGTGTGCAGCGTTCGTACACACACTGAGCCGGTGGCCTGTTTGGCCACAGTGTCTACAGACAACACCCTGGACTCTGCACTCTTTCACCCTGTGGTCGAAAGCACACGGGCACTTCATCATATTGACGCACCACAAAACAATGGTAGTCAATGTATACCCTACCGACGCTCAGGAGTGCATCCATAGCCTGAACGCATCCCTCCAGGACGAGGTTGGCCGTACCACCACTTTTTACCCATGGTTTTGAGACCATCCGGACACTCTTTCTAAATTCCTCGGGAGAGTACGTTTAAGGTTCATCTCATACAAGCCCTCATAAAAACAGACGGATCGAGCACTTCATGCACGGACTGACATACCACCTTCGGGCCCAGCTTCTCTTCAACCGAGACATTGAGCCCGATTTCCCCGAATTTCGTGTTCGCCATGATCTTTGTCCTCTCCGCAGTAGATGGAGTACGGATAACGGCTCCACCTCCTACCAAAAAGTGGTAGGAAAGGTAGCGCACTTTGGGCACTCCCTTGGAGTCAGATTACACGATATTAAAGCTATGCGGAACGGAGGAGCAGTTATCCGTATCACTTCTGTTGAGGGCAGACGGAGGATTTTATGGAATACGAAGTTTGCAGAGGTAAATCTGTCAGTGTCAGTGCCTCAAAAAATTGGCCCGAAATTAATTGTTTAAAGAGTAGACAAGCAAATCAGCCGTAGTGATTTTTTGGAAGAGCTGCATAAACTCAACTTCAAAGATAAAGGAATAAGTGAAGAAGACTTCAAGAGGTCCATCCGTTTGGCCTCTCGTCTTTGGATTGCTGGAGATAGACAGATTAATGCTATGCTGGAATCTACGGAGAGATTCAGCGACGTGCTGATCTGTGTGGGAAGAGTTTGTGTACACTGGTACTCATTTCTGGTGCCTTTCTTCGATGAGGTGCCGGTTTGTTTTAAATATTTAAGTTTTGACCACATGGTGAAGGACTGTAGGGTAAGTGGGGTTGTGTGTTGACATTGTGGCATGACTGGCATTTAAGAAGAGCTATCCCGTTATGTGCAATTTGGGCCAGTGCATCAGTGATTTTAGCAGCAGTTTAGTACGGTAAAAACCGTATTCTGGGCTTGTCCGGATATATGAAAATATTTCCGGATGATAGATGCTTGTCTACTGCTATTGTCAATGATGCCAGTGTCCATTTCATGCTGGTCAGTTCTTCTGATTGCGGTGTATATGCCTGTGTAGATGGATTGCAAAGAAACTTTTCCTTGCAAGCCTTTACTGCAGATTTAGGGAAGAGTTGCATCCTTATATGAGATACATGGATACTGTTCTGTTGCTTGAGGGCGGCTCGGCAGTTATCTTAGGTCTCCATGCCAATGCTTTCTCATCCGTCTGGTTTAATAAACCAGACAAGGGGTGAGCTGTTAGCTGAATGGTGCATCTCCGTGTAGAATTCATATAATGGTCCAGCTGGTGTTATTGACATAGATTTGACGCTCGTAAATGACGCAGCTTGGAGGTTGTTTGAAATCAGTTGGAATATAATAAGTGGTTGTGGTATGAGTGATCACCAATTAATTAAAATTGAGGTGACCACTGTCCAAATTAATGAAGTGGCGTCTGACATTAAAAAATGGTGTACGTCTGGTGTGGAATGGAATACCGGCGGGACTCCAGTCAAGGGAAAAATATCTGGAAAGTCATGAGATTTTTTCCGTCGGGAGCCGGTTAATGAGCAAACCATTTCCATTAATGAATGCTTGTGGGAAGTCAATGAGTTTCTCCCTCCGCGTAGCCAGAGTTTTGCGCGTAGAGGAGTTAAGTGGTGGACTTCTAGTTTGAAACAGATGCGTAGCGCAGTCCGGCATCTCAGGACGAAGTTCCAAAGAACCAGGAGGCTGCGCAGTGCGAATGAATTCCTCATTAGAGCTGCCTACCATAATAAGTTGTGTGAATGCAAACGTCTGATTGTGCGAGTTAAAGAAAAAGAATAGAGATTCTTTATCTTATGCAGTCGTGATGATCCTTGGGAGCAAGTCTACCGGATATACACAGGCAAACGGTGCTTCGATATTAATTCATGTAGGTAACAAAGTCTTGATTAATGGGACTGATGGTATGCGCACCTAAATGTCTGAATTTTTTCCTAGATTAGGGGGACCAGTTTTGTCAGCAGAACTTGTGTCTGTTTGCCCAACGTTAAGAATGCTGGCTATAATCCGCCACATCAAGGAAAGGTACCAATGCTACCATATGGCAGCACACAATGTAACCGCGCTACAAGGCTTCGGAGAAGAATTCGTCGAATACCTAAGAGAGTACTATAAAAGTTTCTCTTCAGTGTTCGTCGATAAAGCATATATAGAGAATTAATAATGAATGATTTTTATCTACACATGTAAATTTTAAATATAAAATAAACATGTTCAGAAAAATTTGATATCGTGGTTTTAGATGGTGACGACGAAAATATTGAAAATATGTATATTGCGAACTGGATTTTACGGTTCTCAACTTTCACAAGTACGACAGAAGGTAAAGCCATCTTGCATCATGTGTGAGCAATATTATCGAACGTAGAAAAATTAATTTTTTTTCTATAGATGGTCAAGATGGTCATATAAAATCGGTCATGTGGGGCAACATCTCGTATATATAAGGATCATTATAAGCTCAAATGATGATGTTCGATGGCAGGCCCATCAGTATAAACTGTGGTGAGATGAGCGGCACGCATACTAAATTTGCGATGAAGATATGGCGAACCTTTATCGTAAGTAATTTCATATCTGTTCAGTGCACTTTGAAAAGGTCTCGAAGCAGCAAACTGAATATGGAATTAAAATTTGAAGAGTAGCAAATAATCAAGAAAACAATTTTTAATGACGGTCATTAAAACACCAATTAAATTTGTGTCCTTTTTTTGAGAACGGGTACGGGAAAAATAGCAGTACATACTAGTCTTTTGTAAAGACTGAAACCAACGCTTTTGTGCTTCTAAATTGAAAGTAAGGCAGAAAAACGAAAATAGAACAAAAAACCATATACTGTATCCTACGAGTGCTTGTAAATCAAAATTTCATCTTGCTTAGTGAAAAAAATGGTGACATATATCATTTAAGATTTCTATGGGGATAATTAAAAGTGATAAACAGGTATATCGAATGACTTTTTGAAAGCAACATTTTCCAACATGGTATGTTACGTGTGTACGATGAGGCTACATACCAACATTTGATCAAGCAGTTTAAGTTAATTATTTACGTTATCGAAAAAAACAAATGTTCATTTAGTTTAATAGTTTAGAATCATCAAGAGGACTCATCCTCGACTGCCTTAATTTTATAGAAAAATCAAGATTGACCTTCAATCAGTTTTCCTCAACCGTTTCTTTTTTAAATGTTGACAGTATATTACAATCACTCAAAACACTAAAATTAATACAAATCAACTAAATCAACTATGTTGTATACAACTTAAATAGGAAGCTTGGAATTACATTCACTGGTAAAAATGTATTAGGAAATAAAGATCTGTCTGTGCGCATATGTTTTACTATAATATATTGAAGCAGTCAATATGTCATTACACGCACCAAAGGCATTCAGCAAAACAGGTTACAGCTTTACTGGAGGCACGCTTTTGGTCCATATTTATTTGCTCCTAAAACAGAACCGTTTCTTTTCAGGTATTCAGGGAACTCACAACAATGGATGTGTAATACTTCACGAACCACAAACGTTAACAAAATCCTTCAAAGAATTGTCGAGGTTTACGTGTTGACAATTTATGTCTCCGTTGCGTTGGCAGCAATCCTTTAGCAAAGGGTTGTAAAATTAATAAGAACTTTTTTAAACATGAATATTGTCACAAAGCAGGACACATAAAAAAGTTTATTTAAAGCATAAGCTTAAAAATAAATATAACACAGGTAACAGGCACAAATCATTAGAATCTTATTAAAGATGAGATTCATCGTATTTGGATATAGTATTAATAAGATTATCGTAATTTATTACGATAGAAGAGTCTTTGAAGAAAATTTTTTATCGATCTAACATTTGTAAAATAAAGAAAAATAAATAAGGAAAAAAAATTATTGATAATTGTAAAAAGATTTTTAGAAATAAAAATAAAAAATCCCATCCTAAATGAACGGCAGAAATTAACCATATAGGCTCAAGGGCACATTAGTGGATTTCTATGGACCAGAACTTCGTGATCGTTTGAGGAAATATCGGAGCTACACACGCTGAGCTCCTTCATTTACATCTAAGCGTACCAACAACACTGTGACTTCTTATAGCCGACACGTCGAACAGATGTTTTTGTAATAGCTGACCTATTACTGCCCATTCACACAAAGAAGCATAGCGACCCGACTATTGTCTGCCACGCTAGAAATCGTGCCTACAGCGGAGGTTATTGCAAACATACGCTAATTACTCCCTCGAGATTACCAACACATTTATCACGCTGCGAAATCAACCTTCTTGCAGGTTGCGCAACAAGATGGCAGTAGTGATGGAATAGTGAGAGGCCATGCGATGCCATCGAAAACTCAACGAGTTCATTCACCGCAGAAGAGGCGAAGTTTGGTTCAGCACGTCTCGCTCTCGAATCTGCGTCGTGTTCGGAGCGGATGATTATCTGGCTGAGATGCCAACATCACCATTATCACAAGCTAGAAACTCGAGAACAGCGGATATCCGTAAGCCAGAACGTCAGAAAATCTCCACATTGAATTCCACTCCTTGAAAGTGCCGAAGAATCCTAGCCCGTCAGCAAGAGGAAAGGAGCTAAGACAACCACCTCAAAGGGAAGTGTAGCAGTGTTAGAAATGATATAATCTGCGGTCAGTTGGTACGTTTAAACTCGCATCTATCCTGTAAAACAACAGATGGTCCACATATAATTCTATTAAACAAAGTTTCCAGACTAACCGATTGTTAAAGTAAAATTTTATATTTAACTTAAATGTTAGACTTAAATAGATGCAAGTGTTCGAACAACAACCCCAGAATGACTACTAGGCGAACGTTTTCTTTCAAAAATAACTCTCTATAAACAAGCTATCAATTAATACAATCACAACAATTAAGCCAGAGATCTCGGTAAAAATATATTCTTTCTCCCAACTTCCTAAAGCCCACCACTAGTCAACTATTCGATAGTAGCCGATGCAACAACGAAAAATGCCGCAAAATCTGGAATTGTATTGCAGGCCATATTTCGAAGCAAGGTTGGAAACCATAATAGCGCAGCACAAAGCTAAAATTAAAATTATATCCGACTGAATAGCCAAAGGCAAGGAATCTCGACTAGCAAGTCAATGGTCGTGGGTCCGAATCTCAAGTGAGGTAGAGTTTTTAATAAAAGCCGATAGCCTTAGATGCTAGTGCTTTTAAGAGTTTAGTCTTGGAATTTATTTCTCTGGCGAAATTAATAATAAAAAAGATAATAATAATTAAAATTATAGTTAGATATAATATTTATAAGAAAACAGATTATATAACACTCATAAACAAAAAACATGAGTTTACGACGGGAAGCGTAACATAGGCCGAGAACATTTTGCGAAGTGCAATTTTATATCATAGTACCTTGAGAACAGTCAAACCTTCCTCGTACACTATACGCGATGTCTGAATTTTTATATTCTATATTAGATGAGCATAGATGATTATTTCCATTTTTGTAGAATAAGGGTGGACATTTTTATTATGTGTCCATTGCTGTTTATAGGTAACAAACGACAAAGCTTCAAAAATTCATTTGCCATTAAATAGATATATACAAAGACAGCATCGAAAATGAAAATCAATGCTGGATCTCGGGTAGAATTGCGTCCAGAAAAAAATTCAAATCAAACACTGTAATAACAACTAATAAATTATATTCGATCATGACCGAGTTTTTTTTTATTCGTCACCGTTATCCTAAGAAAGACTAAAAACAGAGGAAAAGAACTAGTTTTTCATACTCTATAATGTTCGGTAGGCGCGGACGATTGTTTCTATTTTTGAAATAAAAAGTGAAATTTATATGGCATATGTGTTGGGCTTTATGAGTAAAAATCAAGAAAACGGAGAGCAAAGACGTTCACAATTCTGTGTCTCGTATGTATGGGGGCGTTTCAAACTCTTTTGCTAATTTGTAGGTGACACCTTCACTTTTTCGAACTGGAAAATATCTCTCACAGATACTGCACATTTGGGCAGACGAACGGACGGACATACATAGAGAAATGGGAATTTTGTGTGGCAACCGATAAAGTACGTTAACGTAACTGCAACTAAACGTAATTATATTCGCAAAATAGTAAATGGAATTTGTGGGATCAAAATTTTAATTAAAATATTATTTTTTTAATTGCATTTTTAGTGGATCAAGTTGAACTAGATGGGTATTCCCCAGTCCGGTCATATCGAAATTTTAGGTAAACGTTTAATAATTAGTTATAAAGCATTTTGTGCCTGGACTTTCTAGTTCTAGTTCTTCTTATTTACTTAAGTATGAGGCAAGTTGAAATAAAAATTACCTTCAAACTAATTCTTACAATATCGACGACATTAGTTATAAAGCATTTTGTGCCAGGACTTGAGAGTAGTTCTTCTTATTTACTTAAGTATGAGGCAACTATTATTAAGATGAAATAAAAATTACCTTCAAACCAATTCTTACAATATCGACGACATTTGGGAAAATTCTAACGAAGAATAAGCCTGAAAACAAACGGCGTAGGGCGGGCAGGTCCAAATTCCAATTGCGCGGTGTGCAGTTGAACCCATGTGTTAAATTGTTACGAGCGTTAACGAGTTGCGAGTTTAATATAGACCATATAACCTGGAGCGATATAATTAGAAGACAAATTTTGGTATAGTTAAAAAGTATTTACCAACACATATGCAACATTGCGTTTCCTATACATTCGTTCAAGAAAGCCGCTAATAAGTTAGGCGGACTTGAGTTCCAAAAGAACCCGTCACGTTGGCAAAACTGTCAATATCTGCAGACCAATTGTCAAGTTTTCTTCCATATGCAGAATAGCTTTGTACTCTGATTTTATATCAGCAGGAACACTAAGCAAATAGGGATTACCCTTTAATTTTTTTTTTTAGTGCGCCATATTAAAATCCGTATATGTTCGTAGATAACTGTAGGTTTGTAGATAGCTTTTATAAAGACCGTTGACAGTCACAATTTAGAGTTATATCCTCTGTATTCCGTTGATTAATAATGCCATAATATATGTTACATATTGCCAAATACGACGGCTAAAAACTCTAAACATTACTTGAATGTTATTAAAACCTAAACGGTCTTGGACCAGTGTTAAATAGGCGTCCATATCTAATTGTAAAAGTGCATTAAACTCTTTTAACGCCTACTGCAGAATACCCTTTTTATTTTTAGCGGTTGAACACAAATGTGAGGGTACAACAAGAGTAAGATCGTTAAGGAATTACAAATTCAGACACCTCTCGTCGATGCAATTCAAAATACATGTAGCCATAATAAGAAGAAAGATGAAATCAAATTGGACAAATGCTTTCAGGTATACGTTGTGAACAGCTCCTCGAGATCGTTTTTTCCTTCAACTAAAGTTGCCAGTTTAATCAGCGGTGACAACAGAAATTGCAAACCTTTAACCACGAAGTGTTCCCCAGGTAGTTTATACAACTGAGATAAAGTTATTGTAACAATTCTACGTTTTAACGATTTTTTTGTGTGAAATTATTTTTAGAGTTGTGTGATTATCTGCGGCCAACATGACCATACAACTTGCATACCGTGGAAACGGTTGGAACTCGATAAAGGCAGCTGCCGCATTTGATTTTTTGTTGTTAATAAATGTAGAAGGATAGGAAATAATTAACAACATTACTTTAAGCAATTTTTCAAAATATTCTTCAGCAACAAACCTGGCGCTAGTTGGGATTACTACCCTTTTCTGTAGTCCAAATTGGAAGATCCGCGTAAGGGATGAGAATATCTGCAATTGGATTCAGTAGCCGAGGGTGAGATGTGAATTTGTAACAACAAGCGCAACACCCATAAAATCTTGCAGCGGTACATGTTTTTGTCCCGGGATAGACATACTTCATGATGGTCGAGATTCAGGTGATCGTTTTCGATATCGTCAATAACCTATGTTGGTTTGGAATATATATTAAAATGAAAAATGGATACCAATTATTTGGTGCATTTGTGCCTACATATTTTTTCTTTCGTTTTGTATTTATGTCGACCAAACGAAAATTCACAAACACATATTTTAGAAATCTATTTTCAATGTGGTATTATTTGGTATGGAAATATATCACAAATTCTTTTTACTTTTACTATATTCTATACTTTATTGTTTAGAAAATTTTAGTTTCGAAATACTTTTTTCCTTGAATTGTTTACGAATAACATATGTGTCCCGTTTCTGGCGACGTCACTGCCAAATTTTTCTGCATTCAACTGCTCCAGCTTATGGCATCATCTTCTCTTCATTCGCAACTTGCCTCCTCGGACTTTTTCAATGCCAAGTAAGCTTATATTTTCTTGACTTTTGCTATTTTACATCGCAACATTTTTTTCAATTTTCTATTTATAGATTTATATTTGTCAATTCAATTATTCACTGTGCGTATTTTAATGAACATATGTTAAAACAGAGATGTTAAATACAAAGTGCACATATTTTTGATTAGCATCAAATTCTGAATCAATTTAAGCATGTCTGCTTGTCCGCTTGGGTAATTTTTTTTGTAAGCGTTCGCCTGGCGGCAAAAGACAAGCTTTTGACTTCAAATTTTTCAGAAATGTTGAAAGTCTGTTTGCTTTTGAAAATCTATTGAGGGACGTATCTACAGTACTACTTAAATGAGAAAACTTTTGTTTATCAACAATATGTTGTTTTGATCATTACTTATAAATTATAAGAGATAATTGTATAGAAGTTTCAGATATTCTATGGGCGATGTTGTAGCACGCTTACAAAAATATTATAATAAATAATAAACCTTATTTTTTTTTGATACCTTTATAACACACAGGGGAAGCTTCAAAACTTCTATAAAGTATAAAAGTTCATGATCTCTTTCAATTTTGGAATGCGACTAAGCATGTCCGTCCGCCCAACTGTGTAGTATCTGTAGAAAACATTTTCCCCTTAGCGGACAACATGTCTCTTATAAATCTATAAAAGAATTTGGAAGAAAAAGAATTTTCCCACACGTAGCTGTTGCTTTATACTTTTTACATTTAAGAACTTCTCGGTTATGGCTTAAGAAGCATCAAAGATTTGCTTACTTTAACTTGAAAACAGGTTCTCTTATTACATCCATCTCTTAATACCCATCACCGAGGGATGATGATTCATTTTGTCAAAACGTTCGCAATTCCAAGAAAGAAACATCAAAGTTACCAAAAGGTATATATATCCTCCATCACAATCACATTTGGAATCAATTTCCGTCTGTCCGTCTGTGTAATGTCTGTTGTAAACGTTCTCCTGGCCGCAAAAACGAAGCTATCGACTTCAAATTGGAAGTACTTGCACACAGGTTGGTATTGAAATCGGTTGAAGGACACGCCCACAGTACCTCGTAAACTGAGAACATCTCTGTTTTCAAATGAAAAAAAAAAAATTGAATTTTTGCGCATTACTCATAAACTGCGGCAGATCAATCTATAAAAGCTTGAATGTATGTTCTATCGGCAATGCTTTAGCACCTATGCAAAAAAGGGAAATACTTACCTCGCCTTCCCAATATTATAGCGTATCAATATTTAATTTGTTTTCGGTATCTTCAAAACGTCTAGAAGCATGGTTCAAAATCTCCATTAGGTATATGTATTCTTGCCCTGCGCCAGTTGCCGAATGCATCCAAGCACGTCCGTTTGTTTGCTTGTCCATCAATTTTTGTGCCCAACAATTTAGCATCTGTGGTAATAATTCTCACGTTTGCAAAAACGAAGATATCGCCTATGGTTTGTCCTTCCGTGGTTTTTCTTTCTGCTCATAAATTACAACACATACAACATATAAATTTCCATGTTTATCCTGAAAATAGAAAAAAGCAGACGCGCCCATCCATTATTATGCAGCATGAAAACTTATTTCTTTACCTTATGTAAGCAAGCAGCACTTTCTTACCCTCTGCGAACACTAACTTGCCATCAGCAAAACATTGCTATTTACAGTTCTCTGTATCATATATTTATCCATATATAATTTTTTTTTGTATTAAACTATATCCAATAGCAATAGAATAAGTGCAGGATTCCTTCTTAGTGTTCCTGACTGCTCGGCTTCAGAACGTCAAATCTTCTTTCCTCTTTATTTTGGCAAATATTTCGGCTAGAGGAGTCTCTAACAAATATATATCGCTAAGATCGATTCAGTAACATGAGTGAATTAAACGCCTTTTCTCTATTGATCATTTCTTGTTTATACTTATTTTTTTACTTGTTTATGAATAAATTACTTAATGCTGTAATTAGCATAAATGGTAAATGGGGGCGGTGAGCTTTGAATTGCGTTTTTTACAGTTGTTTACAAATTGAGTTAATGCAATTCGAAATGATTGAAATGTCATATTTTGTTGTTTTATTTTGTTAATACATTTTTGCTTACAATTGTAATTTGTGAGACACTTGAAATGGACGCACATCTGTAACAATATGCAGTCACACTACACCCTTACCCTTTAGATGAGCATATATAGTTATAATCATAACAATATAAAATATAATTAGTTTAACCTTCTCCCTCCTTTTGTACTTTAGGAAACTGTTTATGTGTATTAATAAACATATTTATTAAGAACTATAAAAGTTTTTCTAGGGTAAGAAAGATGGGAGAAGGTTAAGCTAATTATATTTTAGATTGTTATGATTTATGAAATACTATGCGTTGTCACACATACGCTTGAGTAGAGCTTTATGATTTTGCTTAGCTGTGCTCAACCGCATATATGACGTACTTTTTCCTCTTTACATCAAACAAAATTGAAAATTGAAAATTGCGCTAACTCCAAGGTATTTACCAACATTGAGAAATTTAAATTTATAGTTCGGCTCATAAGAGAGGTTTACTTAAATGTTCTGGAATTTATAACCACTAGTAGAGAATCAAATTATCTAATTTATGGTGTCTTCGGAAAGACTGTGGAAAATGTAGATAAAAAATAAATTATTAGAAGCGTGTGCGAATGGGAGAATAGAGGAAGAAAGTTGGGGGCAAGAGAGGGGTAGATCAAATTTTCTTAGTTCTATTGTTCTTAGTTCTCTTGTTCGGAAAAAGGAACACCACATGCGTGTCTTTTCAATTACACATCCTCTTATTACGGTCACAAAAATGTCCCTCCGTAAATATTTTCTTCATTATATAGATTCCAGTGAACTAATGAGAAAAAAAAGATTCTTTCAAGGGCATATATTATTTATAATGCTAATATCAACTACAAAAAAAACACGATCATGCATAGAAATGCACAGACAAAATTAAGCGCATTCTGGTTGGTAGTGAACAAACGAAAAAAGTATTTATGATGCTGATAACAACTTAAATTCATGAATGAAAAAAAAAAAAATTAAGGGCACCATGGGTGGTGTGACTATTTCACCATATTGCATTTCAAAACACCCAAACGTCAAATGATCCTTTCTCATTGGTACTTTTAATATCAATGTTGCCATTCGTATAAATACCCCGCTGAAAGTCGAAAAAGAATTAGTGTTACGGTAGAATTTATTACGTCATGACGATACTTAAATGAATTTGTCGGGAAAAAACTAAAGGTAATAAAAGGCAGAGTGAAGTTTACAGACAAGGCTTAAAAGGCAACCTATCCTATAGAAGCAGAGTTTTCTCTTAACTTATTCTAAAATTAACCCTAACCATCAATGCGAGAAAATTATCAGCGTTCAGTTTAAAAAAGTGTTAATCAACCGACTGGAGAGGAATTACGCACATTATCTCACACGAGTTATTATATAATTGAAAGTATTCGCGAGATTGCCATTGAATTTCGAAACATTTGAATTGATTTCTTTGGCTTAAAATTTCCGATAACCAGCTGCGACATCAATCGGTTTGAGCAGAACAAGGGTACTTGGAAAATGGTCGGTCCAAAAAAGGGCGACAAAAGAACCAAAAAGTTTCCACATCAACTTGCTGACTGTGTTTAACGAAACGGCCAAGCAACGTCATCATTGTCTTATTACCAACATGCACGATGGAAAAGCACGAAGCCATACTTCAGGACAATTTTATCATTTGTGCCAGAAACCTTTCACCGCCACTGGAAATCGCTATAAGCAAGAATACACCAATGTCAAAATCGTATTTCCATCAGGGGGAACAACAGCCAAGTTTACAAATATGGAAAAGAAGTTAGTGCCACCAATTATCAAACATGCTGACATAGAAGCTGTCCTTAAGCCCATAAAAGTCCATAACAGAAGCGAGGAGACGACAATTCAAAAGCATGAAGCGTGCGCGGTTTTATTATATTATTATTATTATTATTATTTTAATTTTAGACTAATGAAATGAATTCTTAGACTAAAAAAAAGACATTGAGCACTAGCAACACAGGCTATCGGCTCTAATTTAAATAAATGGATATTAGATAGTGAACTTAGTAGTATTAAAAAAGTAATATATTGAATTGATATTCTGTTCTGAAGCTGATTGTAGAATGTTCAAAGGGTTAATCGTTCCAAATGCAATACTTCTAGCCGAGGAAAAGTTGAGGCAATCGCAGAGAATGTGCTTTATAGTAAGAGTTTGTCCACAACAGCAGATTGGGGGAGAAGACTTCTTCAGGATCCATTGGTGAGTTGCAATTGTATGACCAAGGCGAATTCTCGAAAATGTTTGGATCTTGGTTTTCTCAACGTTTGTTGGATATAAAGGTGGAGTTAATTGAGGGTTAATGCAAGAGTAGTGTTGATGATGGTATTGTAAATTTCCTTCTGCAATTTTCTCTTTAACTTTTCTTCCAATGTATCTTTGAAGATCCAACTTTTCCATGACATCATCCATAATTAGAGGAGAAAAAGCAGCATACTTTGCCGCTCGATCAGCCTGCTCATTTCCCAGTAAACCGATGTGACTTGGTACCCATAACATTTTAATTTTTCCGTCGGGTGTAGTAATTATATTCCTTAATTTGTTGATGGTGCTCCATCTCGAAGTCGAAAGGTTCCGGGTAGCTTGTAATACAGACAAACTGTCAGTAACAATGACGGTTTTGAGTTTGTTTTTATGGGCAAGGTTGGCAGCGTGAAGGATAGCTCTGGCTTCGGTTATGAAAGTTGAAGTGCTTTCGTGAAATATGTGGTTGAGAAGAACCCGTCCTGTAGGATCTACCACCGCACAAGCAGGAGGCAGACCAGGCGATTTTGAGCCGTCTGTGTACAAAAGATTCCAACCAGTACTGTCCAATACTTGGGTTTTTTCAGCTATTAGATTCCTGAAGACGTAATTTGGAATATCTTCTTTCTTGTGCATAGACAGTGAGATGTCAAAAGAGCAGTCTTTCAAAATCCAGGGAGGCTTAACACCAAAAGAGCGGGGGATTTTTAAGGGAATGTTCAATTCCTTTCCGATGCACAAACAATGGT